TCTCTCTCTCTTTTTTTTTTTTTTGCAGTTTTTGGCCAGGGCTGGGTTTGAACCTGCCACCTCCAGCATATGGGGCCCGCGCCCTACTCCTTTGAGCCACAGGCGCTGGCCCCCTCACCTCTCTTTTAAGTAATGTTCTGTTATTATAGATTTCCCTGACCCTCTATTTTGTCTTTCACAAAATGGGGCCATAATACCTAAGACAAGAAATTTTTGAGAAATAAATGAGATCAAGTAAGTTAAGTTCTTGGGACACAGCACGTATGAAATTAACTGACCATTATTAATAACCTGAGTGACTCCACTGACCAGGATGGGTGTTGCAGAGGTGTGCTGTGCATGGACCCCGGTCTTGCTAGGTTACACCTCCTTGAGGAAAGGCTCTTGATCAGTTCTGCAGAGGGAAAATGATGGCTTATAGGGGTTTAGGCTCCATAGATTCAATGTTCAGGGCGCAGAGAAGCTGTGATTTTTGGTGTCCAAATTGCCTGTCAGCAGTTCAGGCTGACCTTGCCTCTTAGTGGAAAGACCTTGCTGTTGAGCCCTCTCAGTGGCAAGACCTTGCGCTTCTGCACCTGGATCCTCAGGTGAGCATGATTTAGGGTGCATCGCCAACTGGGGCTGCAGACACTGCTAGACCTTCAGGAGCGGGTCTGGCACAGCTTGGAGTCGGATAGACATAGTCATCCAGGTTCTTGCACAGGCTCTGGGCAAGGGTTTGTCACCCTCCATACGTTTATTAACCTCTGTGATTTAGTTTCCACATTTTTAAATGAGGATGGAGATACGCACCTCAGACAGTTATTGTAAGTCTTTTTTTTTTGAAACAGTGTTTTACTTTGTCACCCTTGGTAGAATGCCATGGTGTCACAGCTCACAGCAACCTCAAACTCTTGGGTTCAAGCGATTCTCTTATCTCAGGCTCCTAAGTAGCTGGGACTCCAAGCACCTGCCACAATGCCCAGCTATTTTTAGAGATAGGGGTCTTCCTCTGTCTCAGGCTGGTCTCGAACTTGTGAGCTCAGGCAATCCACCTGCATTGGGCTTCCAGAGTGCTCGGATTACAAGCATGAGCCACAGAGCCTGGCCCCAACAAGGAGTTTCAATTGTTAGAAAGTTCTTGAGCTGCTATTGGTCTCCTGTTACTTCCTTGCAATGCTATGAAATGCGTATACTCTTTCACTTGTTCAACAAACATTGATTGGACATTGCCTTTGTGCCAGAGACTGGGCCAGAACTGTGAGGATGGTGGAAGAGATGGACCAGTCCCTGTTTATGGGAGAAGAACTTCCTCCCCGACATGAGAGTCACCGGGCTGTGCAATAGTTATCATGGATTCCTTGACTTACATCATTCCCAGGTTTAATGTCTCTCTCCCAGATGCATTTAGCTGTACCTCTTGTATCTTGTTTGTTGATTCCAATTAAGTCTCAAAAATACTCCTCCTTCTCGAAGCTTTCCCAAATTGCACAAAACTATGTCCTCTTTCTTTCTTCCTTCCTTCCTCCTCCCCTCCCCTCTCTTCCTTTCTTTTTTTGAGACAGAGTCTCTGTTGCCCAGGCTAGAGTGCCATGGCATCAATCTAGCTCACATCAATTTCAAATTCCTGAGCTCATCAATCCTCCTGACTCAGTTTCCAGAATAGTTGGGACTACAAACACCCACCACAACACCCAGCTAATTTTTCTATTTTAAGTAGAGATGGGGTCTCACTCTTGCTCAGGCTGGTTTCAAACTCCTGAGCTCAATGATCCTCCTACCTCAGCCTCCCAGAGTGCTAGGATTACAGGCGTGAGCCACTAGGCCCTGTATTACCCATTTTGATCACCTTGGTAAGCAGCTGGTACGCAGCTTCCATGGCCAGCGTCTTAGGTTTCTTTCTTGATCCTCAAGACACCACGAAGTCTCTCTGAGGTTCTCCTGCCAGAATTTATAACCCTCAGAACTCAACTACTTCTCTTCTCATGTAGCCCTCTAACGGTTTCCCAGCACCATGGAGCAGAGGCTCACCACCCACGGGCCTTCCTCACTATTAGTTTTATATGAATAGCACAGGGTTTTTTCTGTTGGCAATTATAAAATTTTAGAATGAGAATCAATATTATGTATTTTTAACTCTATTTTACAGATGAGGAAATAGAAATTCAGAGAGGCTAAATCACTTGACCAAGCTTATACATCAGTTCTGCTGAGACTGAGCGGAACTTCAACCAGATGCCTCGACTCCTAAACCAGCACTCTTTCCGCTATTCCGTGAACCTTTCAAAAGTAACAAGCTGGAAGAGAGAACATGCCGTTTTCTATGAACAATGGTCATCAACCTTTATGCCATTTGCGAGCCAGGGCAAACTGTAAGAGATACTAAGGAAAGGAAGCTAAGTGGGCATTGTAGTTTTAGTCAAGCAACTCAGGTTTTCTTTCTGAGGATTCTCTAAACCTGCCATAATGGAAACTTGAAGCAACAGCAGCCTAAAGACAAAACACTTAGCACAGAAAATGCGTCTCATTTGGTCTGCCTTTCCTCACCGTGCCAAGTTAGCCTGGGGATGTTAAACCTGCCACATTATTCCCCAGGCTCAGCCCAACCAATTTTAGGACATTCTCTTCCTGAAGGAGAAATCAATCTCTTCAGTTTCTCACACAAGAAAGTGAGTCTGCAGCATTATCCAGTCCTGGTCTTTCCTATTCTGGGCCCCTACCCGGACTACAGTGAAGGAGTGGAAGTCTCATTTTAACCAAACACACGAATTCAGAGCCCCTCTTCAACCCACGTTACCCTCTCAGCAGCCCCCAGCAAAACCGCTGCCACTTCTGGCCAACCAGCTGAGAAGGTCTGACTAGGTGCCCTTTCCATCCCTGCCTGTGATACACAAAAGTCCAGTGGGTGAGGAAGGGGAGGCGAGGGGGCCCAGGTTACCCCGCAAGCTTGCTGGTGACGAGTGAGGACTTTCTCTGGGGCAGATCCTGTGGGGTCTGGATGTGGTCACCAGTCACGAGGTTCCTGTCTGGTCCTGTACTTGGCAGCTGCTTATTCTTCATCTTGGCTTTGGCCATGTTGTAGTCTCCTGAGTCCAAGTATTTTTGCCCTTTTTGGAGTCTCTTCATGAGGAAGTCAGACCCTCCAGGCTTTTGTCCTAGGCTTGGATATTTGGCCTTCAGCTTTGCCTCTTCAGCTCTCTCTGGGAGAATACTTTCTTTCTCCTGAATGTCCTGCTTCTCCTCGCCAGTCTCCTCCACATGGTTCTCTTCTTGTTTCTCGGACATGGCAGGACGGGGACTGTGGAGTGTAGGGGGCCCAGGAAATCAACTGAGAAGGGAAGGCGGAAGGGAAATGGGGACAGCCTGCTCTGCTGCTTCGGCTCCTGTCATGAGGGTTGCTCAGTCCAATGGTACAATTTATGTAACAAAAACATTTCTATAATATTCTGCAATAAAATTAATTAAAAAAGAAATCACAACAAATTGCAACTGTTAAAAAGGTAATATTATAAATTGTAAATAACATAGTAATTATAACTATTATATTATTTGACTTTCTGACGCAGCTTTGTACTTTTTTTTCTTCCTACATTTTTTGGTTACATACTCCTTAGTCTCCACAGGATAATTTATAATTTAATTTTCTATAGAGAAAATAGATAATTCAGTTTTTCTTCTAGAACTTTGGGGGTTTTTCTGTTTGTTTTGTTTGTTTTGAGTCTCATTTTGTCACCCTTGGTTATAGCTCACTGCAGCCTCAAACTCTTAGGCTCAGGAAATTCTCAGGCAATTGCCTCAGCCTCCCAATTAGCTGGGACTACAGGCGCCCGCCACAACGCCTGGCTATGTTTTGGTTGTATTTGTCATTGTTGTTTGGCAGGCCCAGGCTGGACTCGAACCCACCAGCTCCAGTGTATGTGTACAGGCGCAGAGCCGAGAATGATTTCTTATCTATTTATCATGTTTTAGAGTTTCTAAAGCACTGTCCTGGAGATAAGTTAATTTAGGCCTGTCAACATCATGTGATGAAAACAAGGCAGAAACAATTTCTAGTTTTTACAGATAAAGAGGCAAAGGGCCAGAAAATAGGCCTACAGTTGCGACAGCTAAAATGTGACAGACTCATTTCCCTCACCTACTTGGCTGGCTCTGTTAACGGTGTTGCAGACCTTTCTGGCACTCATCTCTTTCTTGTTATCTCCCTGGCTCTGCGCCTCTTCAAGATCTCTCTCTCATTATCCTCACCTGGGCTGTAACAGCAGCTTCCTTTCTGAGCTCCCTACTGCCCGCCTCCTTTCTAGCCTCTCCTTCTTGACTTCCCCTTGCGTAAAATCTTTCACCGCTCCCACCACCTACAAGGCAATCTCTGGCCTGGCTTTCTGGGCTCTGCACATCTGCCCCTGCCTACCTCTCTGGGCTTATCTCCCGTCATTCCTTCCTAGCAGTACAGGCACTACACTCCCCAACCAGGGCTCAGTAAACATGCCTGGCTCTCTTAGCCCTCAGGGCACAGCAAATGGTATTCTTTCTGCCCAAGACTGTTGTTTCCACATTCTTCAAATGTAAAAGTGAACAGGAATCAATCAGAGAATTACTTCCTTTCTGAGGGCATCCTCAGACCTTCCAGACAGTGTGCAGTTCTCTTTCTTCAATCAGGGAGGCACAAACACATATATGCCTACAGTGGTGTTATAGACTGAATGTTTATGCCCTTCTAATATATCGTTAAATTTGTTTTGCAGGTATACGCATATGTCAAAACTCACCAAATTGTAAACTTTAATATTTGCAGTTTATTGTACATCAATTATGCTTTAATAAAGCATGGAAAAATGTTTCATAGACTTTTGCTATTTAAAATGTGGTATGTAGGCTGGGTATAGTTCTCATGCTTGTAATCCTAGCACTCTGGGAGACTGAGGCAGGATTGCTTGAGGGCAGCAGTTTGAGATTAGCCTAAGCAAAAGCTAGCCAAAAAAAGTAAAATTACCTGGGTGTGGTATGTACCTGTCTTCCCAGCTGCTTGGGAGGCTGAGCTGTGATGCCATGACACTGTACTGAGGGTGACATAGTGAGTGTAGGTCTCAAAAAAAAAAAAAAAAAAGAAAGAAAGAAACTTATTAGAAATGTATGCAAACTCTCAGGCCTTCAATCACACTTACTGGGTCAGAATCTGCAGCTGTTAAGAAGACTTCAGGTGATTCTCATGCACATTAAACTTTGACTTCTTGGTGGCGTCCATAGCTCAGTCAGTAGGGCTCTAGCCACATACACCGAGTTAGGTGGGTTCAAACCTGGCTCAGGCCACCTAAACAATAATGACAACTGCAACCAAAAAAATAGTCGGGCATTGGGCGCCTGTAGTCTCAACTACTTGGGAGGCTGAGACAAGAGAATCATTTAAGCCCGAGCATTTGAGGTTGCTGTAATCTATGACACGATGACACTCTACCCAGGGTGACAGCTTGAGACTCTGTCTCAAAAAAAAAAAAACAAAAAAAACAAACTTTGACTTCTTAGTATAGTGAAAATCTAGAACTCGTCTCCCATGATAAGTTAAAGAAAAATTATATTTCCTTTTTTTTAGTCACTAAGAGCAATTACGTATCAGATGCCCCTTGATGGTTCTATTAACAAAAGGTTTTAATGTTTGATCTGGAAGATGTTCAAGTTTTTCAAGAATACTCAATATGTGGGTGGCACCCGTGGGCAGGGTACCAGCCACATACACTGAGGCTGGCAGGTTCGAACCTGGCTGGGGCCTGCTAAACAACGACAACTGCAACAACAACAAAAATAGCCGGGCATTGTGGTAGGCACCTATTGTCCCAGCTAACTGGGAGGTTGAGGCAAGGGAATCGCTTAAGCCCCAGAATTTGAGGTTGCTGTAAGCTGTGATACCATACCACCCTACTGAGAGGGTAACATAGTAAGACTCTGTTTCAAAAAAATATATATATAGGGCAGCGCCTGTGGCTCAAAGGAGTAGGGCACCGGCCCTATATGTCAGAGGTGGTGGATTCAAACCCAGCCTCTGCTTAAAAAAAAAAAAAAAAAGTTACATTCCAAAATAATAAAAAAGTCAACAATAATTAATTTCTTGTTACATTTTACCTGTATTCCAATGTGTATTCTACAGGTTTTAATATTTATTGCATATTTTTAAAATAACTTTTTTTCTGATTACAAAAGAAATGCTTATTGTGGAAAACTTGGACAACAGAATCTATAATTCCATGAAGCAGAGCTATATTTACCCTACTCACCCTCAACATTTATTGAACTCTAAAGGTAGGACACTGGACCTACCTATATATACCCAAGGAAATATATTTATGACTTTTTGAAGGTTAAGCCTGCGGATATGTATATTTTTAAACTAATTAAAGCTAAATCTAAAGTTCTAAGCTAAGTGTAAAGAACACAGGGCTTGGGGTAGTAGAATTAGTTTCACTTTGTCGCCCTTGGTAGAGTGCTGTAGCGTCATAGCTCACAGCAACCTCACACTCTTGGGCTCTAGTGATTTTCTTGCCTCAGCCTCCCAAGCAGCTGGGACTACAGGTGCCCACCAGAATACCTTGCTATTTTTAGAGACAGGGGTCTCACTCTTGCTCAGGCTGGTCTTGAACCCATAAGCTCAGGCAATTCACCTGCTTTGGTCTCCCAGAGTGCTAGGATTATAGGTGTGAGCCACTGCGTCTGGCCATAGAACTTGTTTGATTCCTGACAACTAGAAAGTACGTTTGCCACAAAATTTATGAAGCTCAAGCTTCTGGGGCCCACACTTTCCAGGCCCCCAGAGGAGACCCAGCAGTGTATACATACATGGTCAAATCTTTCTGTAAAAGTTTTGAGAGTATGATATTTAAGACCACTACCTCTTTGTTTCTGATTTCTCTTCATCATACTTTTCCTCTGCATTAGGGGGTAGTGGAATGGCCATAGGGTTTTTAGGGGGTCCCCAGGCTGCAAAACAGCTCTAGGCCAGCTGGGAGACTATTCTGCTCTGTGTTTCCCTCAAGAACCGGTGACTGTTCTCACAAGCATGGAGTTCATTCTCCTGCAAACTAAACCAAAAAAATAGCTGGGCTTTGTGGCAAGTGCCTATAGTCCCCACTACTCAGGAGGCTGAGGCAAGAGAATTACCCAAGCCTAAGAGTTGGAGGTTGCTGTGAGCTGTGACGCCACCGCATTCTACCGAGGGCGACAAAGTGACTGTCTCTAAAAAAAAAAAAAAAGTATGCAGTCAAAAAAATATAGGAAAAATTATCATAAATGGTGTTTCAAAAGTCTAGAAACATTACGTGCATAGGTGAATATACATAATGTTGTCAAGGGCATGTTCACGTTTTAAAAAATAGAATACGTTTCTCGGGTCTTGGATGCCTTGTAGAAGTGTATCAAGTAGTTAATAAAAATATAGCTATGTGTGTGATGTTTGTGGGTTTTGCTAACGTGTAAAAATATCATTTGTAATTTCTTCCTCATTCTAAACATATATTCACTGCTCATAAATTTTGTACTTTGTTTTTCCTGCGGGTCCCACAAATTGTACAAGCTTCAGTTTCTGCAAAACCAAGATCTGCCTCTGTCTACAACCTCAGAGAAATTACAGAATTTCTCTGCAGCCATAGTTTTCTTTTCTTTTTTTTTTTTTTTTTAGACAAGAGTCTCACTTTACCGCCCTCGGGAGAGTGCCGTACCGTCCCAGCTCACAGCAACCTCCAGCTCCTGGGCTCAAGCAATTCTCCTGTCTCTGCCTCCCGAGTAGCTGGGGCCATAGGCACCGCCGCAGCGCCCGGCTAGTTTTTGTTGCGGTGGTTGTTTAACTGGCCCGGGCTGGGTTCGAACCCGCCATGTTCGGTGTATGTGGCCGGGACCCTACTCACTGAGCTACGGGCGCCGAGCCGAGTTTTCTTTCTTTCTTTAAAAAAAAAAAGAAAGAAAGAAAACCTTGGCGTTTGGCCTGCATCTCCTCGGACTCATAAAGGTCAAAGAACACAACGGTGGGCAATCGAAAAGCGAAGGGTCTGAGCCCAGGATGGAGGACGGGGAGCTCGTCACGCAGCAGCCCTCCCAACACAGAGCCCGCATACAAGACTCGCTGACCCCGTCACAGCGGGACACTGACAGCCACCAGATAGAACCGAGGGGAGCGGGCGCAGGAATCACCCGCCGGTCGGAACCGGGTGCCAGGGCGCGGAGGGAGGGTGGGAAGGACCTTTGCAACCCACCAGCCCCTGGGGAGGCGTGGCCGACGCTCCGGGGGGCGGGGCTCCAGGCCGCAGCCTCTCTCTGTCTCTGAGTCTCGCGTCCCCTCAGCGCCGGAAGTTCCGGTGTCGGCTAGTGGACGTCAGAGGTCGGCAGGAAGTCGATACGTGGCCGCCGTCTGTGCCCGCGGA